CGCCGCCACCAACCGAATCCATCTTTGCTGCCAATCTACCGGACCTCAACCGCAGAGCAACCATGGCTTAAACTTATTCAATGTTTAAACTAAATGATAAATATTTTATAAATATTCATTTTTAAATATATATTTTTATTTATATTAAAAATAGTTTTAAATGTAATAAAATTTATTTAAAAAATCATAACGATACTATCAGTATGACCGACTGGTATTGACCGATTCTATGGAAAATATTTTATTCAGTCGAACCGAACTGGTCGATAAACCGGATCCGGTCCATACAGTCAGACTGTTCGATCCAATACAGTTTTGAAAAAAAATAGGTAAATCATGATTAACGTTATTTATATATTTTATTTATAATAATATAATCATAATATTGTTCCCCGTGCATCGCACGGATCCCGTACTAGTTAGCATTTAATATGTCATAAAAAAAGGTAATAACAATTACATCTTACATGTCAGGTATAATTAAAATATTTTTAGCATGTTTAGGTATTTTTATAAATAAGAATATAAGAGGTATATAAATGTAATAAAAATCATAGCTTGTGGTGAGGGGTGCAAATTCTTCTAAAGTGATATGTACTTAGATAAATAGTCTTTTATCTATTGGGCCTAAAATCCATTTTTCATGAATTCTTTAGCCCATATGCCATTTCTCTTAAACTAATTTTTACCAGGCCCAAAAATAAAAATTCCTCCAGCCCATTTCTTAGAAAAAAGATCCGACTCATATACTAAACACACACTGAAAGGGTCTCTCTTTTCGCTTTCTCGCTCGATCTCTCTTTCCGTCGGCCTCACTTCTCTATCGTCGTCGTCTCCAACCATCTCTAAACCAGTCTGCAACCCCTCCTTTCTTCTCTATCCTTCTATTTTCTTTGCTTTCTATCTCTCCCCACCTGGCTATTCTTTCCCGGATTCCTTGTGGTTTTCATTTGGGTTTTGGCTAGGAGCGGTTGACACTCGCCGTCTGACCCCAAGGAAGCCGTGAGTCACGGCTGAGCACGGATTGTGTTCGAGAACTCCAAATTCGTGTACTGGTCAGTACTCGTAAACGAGGCGTGTTAAGGTAGGTTCCAATTTTCTTGATTTCAAGCTCATTGCTTTGGTTATTTGGTTACGAGCTCAATTGACTGAAAAGATGCAATTCAGTTGCTAAAGGGTTTTTTTTTTATTTTTTTTTAAGATTTACGTGTTGTTCAGGCTTTAGTTTTTGTAATGGATTGTGTTCTTGAAGATGAATAAATTTTTATTAACTAGGTTGTTGAGTGTTTAGGGTTAATTCGAGGGATTAATGGGGCTTTTTGCTGTAACCTGGTAATTTTGTGTGTGGGTGTTCGGGGAGTCAGTGCTGGACGTTCTATGTGATGTGTGTAGTGCAGAAACACCAAATATAAGAAGTATATTCACGATGTGTGCTGCCTATCTGGTTTTATGGTATTGGCTCAAGAATCAACCAAATATCTCTTTTCTAGGAAACGTTATGCCAAAAAACAAACACCGCGCTTGGCTGCTTCTGTCCATATTGCAGCTGAATCTTGAATAACTTTTATATAGTGAACATTCTCATAGGTGTTTGGAGTCTACATAAGAGTTGTAGATGCATCTCTTAGCGTTTAGTAGGAGCAAGCATTAATTTAATATAAGTTTTCGAGTTAAAATTATCTTTAGACATGGCAGCTGCACACTCCCATGCTGCCATTCTGTTTTGCAGCAGCAAAGCAGTTCTGTTTTTTCCAGTTTTCTTCCTATTAACATGCTTGTTGGTGTTTGGAGTCTTCTTAAAGTTTTAGTTGCTTACCTTTTCTTTCATAATTTCAAGAGCCAATGTAATATCTTTTTTATAGAAAAAGTTACAATAACAGTACAAATGTTAAGCAAAATTCTTTTTCTTCTCTTTTGCCTCTGGGCAGCCTATGTTTGTATGATCTGACACTTTCACCCTTGAAGCTTTTAGGTAGTTATTTGGTCGAAAAATTGCCTTTTTTTTTTCTTAATTTTATTTGCCATTTGGCTCAGCTATCCAAAATATGTGACCAGAATCATTTCGCATTATATTACCAATTATATTAAGGGTGTTTATTAATGGGTATTTTTTGTATTTATTGCTAAAACTTCGGATGTCAGTTATTAAGAACTTCTCGCTCTTATGGTAAGGAATTGATAATGCACTTTGGAGGCTTGTAGTTCTTCAAACAAGCGAGCATAATAACTTTTACAATCTATTTTATTCCAAGGATAGTCATAAAGCTTTTAGTCGTACAAAAGGTACATGCTGGTTGTGCTTGTGTTTGATATTGTCTGGATGATATTGTCATGAATTTTTCATCACAAGTTTTGTGTTATTGTGTGAATCAAGTATCATCATGTGAGTTATGATAATTTTTTGTTTGTACATGAATTTGTCTGGTTTTGTTATGTTTTCCACTTGCATAGTTTGGTCCATTGACCAGGCTGGTCGTCTGGGGTTTTTGGAACCAACTATGCATGGTCTAGTTCCATCTCCTGGTCGGGTTAGAGCCATTGGCGGGAGTGTGTCGTAGAGTTGGTGTTTTCCGGAATATGATGCTCTCTAGGTTTTAGGCCATCATAAAAGGAACAGCCAGCCGCTTGTGGAGGAATAAGGTTGATAGGTTGGCTATCCTGGCATGTAACTTATTCTGTGTGTCAGGAACGTAAGGGTTCAATATACAAACAACATTGACCGGATGTTAATATGATAATCTGACTTTTCCTGGGAGCTACATGCTACATGTGGGAGCCACCTCTATAGTCCTGCTGCAAAGTGGTTGGATTTGTTAACAATCTGGATTTTGCTTGTACGTGATCCTTGGGGATGTTGGTTACTTGTTATTGCGTCATATGTATTCATATCCGTGGATGAAATTATTTTGGATATGAGCCCTTATAAGTTATATCGAAGCTGATCTTGCTAATCGCGAAACCCCCCCGTCTATAAAGTACCGGAAATTGAGAGAGAATAGGGCGATAGCGCGGTTTTGATTGAATATCCTTTCCTGTGCTTGTTTGTATTGAGGCTCGATGAAATTGACGACATTCAATAGAGGGGGTAAAGTAAAACCATTTCACATAGCCTTTAGCACATGCCCACGAAAGAAAGAATGGGCAAGAGTTAAAGGAAGCGTAGAAGTAGGAGTAGCAGGATTGAACCTGAACTCTCTCTCTTACATCCGTCTCATTTGAGCGGGTGATTTATGGGCTGCCTCGACCTACTGAAGATGGAACTCGAACTCTTTCCACGAGGCCGGCATGCCACTACAACTTCAAGAAAGAAGGCATCCGTCGTCTTAGGGATTGTGCTAGCCTAGCTATGTAGGTTTAGACTTGTCCCAGATAGAAAGCTATAACCGCAAATGCCTCAAATAGGTAATATATCATACCCGCCATAATAAAGAAAAGTCTTCGTCCCCAACGAACTTTTCGAAGTGCAGTGAAGGAAAGGATCGACAAAGTTGACCTCTTAGCGAAAGGAGAGGAACTCTGACGTAGCTCAGTTACGAATAAACATCCTCTTATTAATGCTTGCATGAGCAGATAGATCAGATATTGATGTAAGTGGGTGTGGGTGAGATCTTGGACTGATTCTTGTTCCATGTTCAAATGTGCATTTTAAGACCCCCTTACCGTGCTCTTTTACTTCATCCCATGTTTCTCACATGAAAACTGCACATGTGCTGTTTGTAGACGAATATGAGCTACTACCTCCATTTGGACCTGGCTTTAACTTAAAATTAATTTTGGAGTTGTGCAGCATATCAGTACCTTGTTTATTTATGTTTTAGATCTTGTCCTCGCAATGTGTGAGATTTAATTGGTTAATGGGCTTGTTACAGAATTCTTCATGGATATAAATTTATGGTTACTGCTTTGAGGAGGGCGCGGTGTTAGAAACTTGGATGGTGAACTGGAATATTGTTGGGGATATTAGATCTGCCCAAGCTTTTAATTGGGAATGTGTGAAGTTTCAGATAAGCCGAGTGTATTAGATTGTAGTATAAGTAATAATCGAAAGTTAATATCTGGAATATATTGACAAAGGCATGATTGTTGTAACACACTTGCTTTAATTTTGGGATATGTCTTCCTCTGAAGTATTTACTTATTTGATTGGAGTCATCTGATAAATCTTATGAGAAGCAACTTAAAGCACCCTTTTCTGAGGACACACTGGTATTCTTTTGCTCAGTCTGCTGCTGATAATTTAGAATTGAGTCTTGTAATCCTAGCATGATGATATCACCTCCATTCCAAGGATTTTAAATCAAGCTAATATCACCGATCCATTTGCATTTCTGAAATAGACTGCTTCTTTTATGGTCAAGTAGCAAGCTGAATAATGAAGTATTTTACTCGTTTCATTTTCTGTAGGGGTTAGTTTGTATAATATGATTGTCCGAACGTTATTTTTACTGAAAGTTAAAAACTTCTAATTAATTGAACTGAGAGGCATACTTTTACTTTCTTCGTATATTTTCAATCTCAGTGGTTCGAGCGATATATATTACGTACGTACATACATACCACCTTCGGTAAAATGATCTCATCTGCTAATAAATCTTTTCTCTTACCACCTATGCTTGAGAATAATCCTGCTTGATCATTTTGAGGATTGTGCTTTCTTTTCTCCTATAAATGTGGTTTACTATTCCATTTCCCTATCCCGTTATTTCCTTATCACTTTCATTAAACCCCTCATTGATGATGTGTAATGATTACATTTGTCTAGTTTTGTATACTGCTTTACTCACTTCTGATTACATATATTCTCCTTTTTTCCACCGTTGTTATGTTAGATTGTTAAGTATCTGTTTTTTCTAATCCCATCCAACTCTGTGGTAATTAGTTTTTTTTTTTGCCACCTTGTAGTGGGGCTGCGGATGGTGAAGGTTTTCTGAGTATATCTTGTTGATTAAGGAACCTTCCAGCATTCTTTGCCTAATTCTGTTGGGAGAAAAGAGTTCAGAATGGCTGGCTTGTTAGCTGGTGAGCCCTCCCATCATGGAGCACCTGAAGGAGGCCACAAAGTTTTCCAGGAAAAGACAGAAGAAGGCAGTGGGCGCTGGTATTTCTCTAGGAAGGAAATCGAAGAAAATTCCCCTTCTAGACGAGATGGCATTGATTTGAAGAAAGAGGCCTACCTACGCAAGTCTTATTGCACGTTCTTACAAGATTTGGGCATGAGGCTAAAAGTGTGAGTTACTTTTCTGGAACTTGCCTGTGCTTTCCTATTTTGACATTTATTCCCTGGGACATTGTGTTTCTTCATTCCTTATAATTTTTCCTCTTTTTTTTTTTTTTGGTGAATATAAGATATTTTGTTAAGCTGGGGTCGTTTTCTCCAGCTGTAGAAATTAAAAAATGTTAGCTCTAGGCATTCTTGTCAGTTTATTTATTTGTTTGAATCCTATCTCTCTCGTGACTCTTTTTTTCCTCGAAAGCATCTTTACACATGTTTGTGCTGCAATGGCAACAATAACATTTTCCTTTGTGAAGACATGCTAAGGTACATATCATTCACATCACATATGAAATAGATTAAGATGGTGCGGGTCACACGTTTTGGTGATGCATATACTCAAATGCATGCACATTAGGTTAAGTGGTAAATGCTAAATATGTAGTTAAATGATGGTTGCAAACTTCATGTGCTTGCTATTCTGAATCTTGGATAATTTTGCCTTATGTGTGTTTTTTTCATTCATCAATGTTGTAAATAAATAAATATTAAAATATCTTCTTAATACATTCTGGATGCCGTTATAATGCAGGCCGCAGGTGACGATTGCTACAGCAATCATATTCTGTCATCGCTTTTTCCTGCGGCAGTCTCATGCGAAAAATGACCGTTGGGTGAGCCGATTTTCTTTTGCTTTTCGAAGTTATTGTTCAAAAACTGATAAGTATCTTTCATGTGTTCTGTGGACAATGACTTTCTTCATGCTTATAATAATAGTTTTATGATACTTAATTTGCTTATGTGATATATCCCCCCTATATTCCCCTATATATTATATATAATCCAGAACGCGTTGAGTCTATGTGGCTGCTTCTGGTGCTTTGGACTCCTATGTGGCAAAATTACATGCGTCGTTATTAGGCTTGGGTAAATTTTAATTTAATTCCAAACCAAAAATAATTATGTTCGGATTACCATAAATATGTTGATTATATATGGTCATGTTACATGTATTAATTGCATTTTAATATCATTCCTTATTATAACTATTGAATTGTATATATTATAACTATTGAATTGTATATATTTTAAAAGTTAATAACTTTTGTATTTTTTTATCAGTTTTACATATGTAATATATCAAATTAATATTCTTTTGATGAGCTTCGATTTAACATTCTATTGTATGCATAAAAAAAATAATTTATATTTATTCTTATAACAGTAATAAAATTATTTTTAATATTAATTAGAAAAATAAAATTATTTATCAACTAATATATTTATATTTCAAGTAGTTATATGATATAAGTTATAAAAACTAATATAATATAACACATGTAAGTCATAAGTAACACATATCATTCTAAAATATTTAGTAATATATATTTTTTTTGTAAAAAAGTAAACTAAATTTAATATAGTTTTCTCATTAATTTTAAATTTTAAGAATATTTTTTTAACAAACACCCGTGTATTACACGGGTGTTGTACTAGTATATATATATATATATTATATATATATATATATGTATATTTTTGACAAATGCGTATATGATATAATTGCTTTCTTCAGAAAGTTTTCTCGCAATTGTATTGCTTTGCATGTTGTTTGTATTGTGCCGGAATGTGACCGAGGAATCATTTATTTTAATTGGCTTTGTGTTATTTGGTATTCTGTAAAATACTCAAACTTGAATCTAAATGCTTGAAGCCTCTCTTACTGAAGTAAGTTAATTTTGTTTGGAATTCAGACAAATTAATGTAGGGGGTCCAGAACTTGTATTGTCCAGTATGCATGTTCTTACCTATTAAGCTTTATATTGGGATCAGAGAGCCAGATTTGGAGAGTGTAAAGACTGTTGTACTCTGTAAAAATCACACCATCTTATATGATTTAATGATTAGTCATCAATGCTGGGCACAAGGTGGTTGTAATGCTTCTGGCTGTCTGTATAGCAATATAGGGAGTATTAGTGATGAGATTATATCCACGGCTGTGTCTGGTTGTTTCCTGGCTTTCACAGTTTTCTTTCTTTTTTTTT